CCTCTACATCCCGCCATAAAGGCAGAGCCTGTCTTCGCTGGAAAGAGTACTGGCTCCAAGATGAAATCGGCAGTTGCTTAAAAGACATGCCCGCACAGACCGGAGGCTGCAGACTACATTAAGGAGACTGAATCTGGACGTGTTTCATGGAGAGAATACCGAAACCCTGGTCATGCTTGAGCTGCATGCAGAAAAAAATTCTGAGGATTGGCTGAAGCCGGGGCAACTTTTTCTTTTTTCTTTTTTTTTCGGGGGGGGGGGGTAACCCAACGCCTGCTTTGCAACTACTCCTGCTGAATTTGTTTTTTCGCTTCGCACGTTCACAAACAGAAGCAAAGTTTGTCCCCATGCCCAGCGAGAAAATAATAAAATATCCCAAAAAAATTCTTTATATTATTTTCTCGCTGGTCAATTCGTTCGCAGAACACGAGACCAGGCGAGAGTAGCTCGCCGTGAGAAGAAGCAGTCCCTCCGCATAGTCGCGCCATCCAAATTACACCCCAGTGGAATTGGGATTGGGATTTGAACCCATGACCAGGATCCAATCTTGTGTCATATGTGGATTCAGGAAAGAAAAAGAAAAAAAAAAAGAAGAGTTTTGTTGGGCACTGTGACCACAGCCGCGCACCATCCCAAGGTTTGGCAAATGCAGCCAAAGATCAGATCAGAGGCCCAGGGAGAATACTCATAGAAGACTCGATGAACATTCACTGCATTGAACACTCAAGTCCACACGATTGAGGGAGTGAGGAAGAAAGCGAAAGTACGTTGCTGCTGGATCCCACACACACCGTCTCTTTGATGGCGCGTTTGCTCTTCCTCCCTTGGCTCTTTCTTCCTCTTCCTCCCACAAAAAAGGGGCTATCGTTATGGCTCTTTCTTCCTCTTCCTCCCTCAAAAAGGGGGGCTAACGTTATGTTCGGGGGATGTTAACGTTAGCTTCCCCTTGTCCCCACCCCGTCAGGCTCTGCTTCTCTTCAAACACATATCTTCATCACTCGTTCATCACAAAAGCAAGGCAACGTCACCTCCTTCCCCCTTCCCCCTTACCTTAAACAATATTTGACATGCCTTCCTCTTCTGCACCCGATCAATTACATGGGGCATTCATCAAATCGTTCAGCCGTGCTTCGTTAGAGAACTCGTCCATCCAATCATATATCAATTAAGCAATGCATCAATCCATCGATCCATCAATCCAGAGAACTCATCCATCCCATCATATATCAATTAAGCAATGCATCAATCCATCAATCCATCAATCCATCAATCCATGCCATCCATGGATGGCCTCGTTGAGCTGAGCTGCGCCTAACGCTGTATACTCTGAAATCTGCGCACGATGAGGGAACTGGTCTCGAGAAATCTCTGCGCGCAATTGGTCAGACAAGACACTTCGCCGGAGGAGAGCTTGCTGCCGGGAGTCGAGATGCACTTATCCCAACACACGTCTGTCAGCTTCGCCACTAGCTCATTCAGCATGGCCTTCTGTTTCTCTTGCTGTTAAATTAAAAAAAAAAAAAGAAAAAAAAAAGCAGGGTTTTACCCCCCCCCCCCCCCCCCCCCCATCCAACCCCAGACGGAAACAAAAAAAAAAAAAAAAAAAAGACGGCACCATAAAAAAAAAAAAAAGTCAGCACAGGCAATTTGTCAGAGACCTGCAGCAGGGTCTTCTATATTGATAGTGATAGTGATAGTGAGATACAAACTTCATCAAACGAACAT